TCTGTCTCCTCTGGGCACAAAGCACAGAAGCTGACACAACAAGGCTTCTTTCTTGCACACACTGAATAAAATTAAAGGAGGCATTTAGTCTAAGACCTCCTTGTCAGTTTCATTACAATAAATCAAGATATCATTTGTGTCCTTAATATGAACTCTTCAGTAAGGGCTGGGATGTAAGACATAACCGTAGTTGATGCATCAGGAGACTAGACTAAAATAAAATGTAAAATAAAATAAAATGTGAGCCATTGGATCCAAAAATGAAACTTTTAAGAGCCAAATGACTTGCTTCAGTCAGCTCACATTTTCTTACTTTAGATTTTAACAACAGTCACTGCTGAGTGTTATGACAATGAGCTGATACTTTAGTATACTGATTTAAGTTTTATTAACTATAGGGTGGTTTTCTAGTTGTATTTAGTATAAATTAGCTCCAATTTGATGATACAAACACAATCAGGATGACAGTGACAACATGTAATAATTCATTTATACACCAAAACTCTTAAGTGTATGAAACGGTCACAGAAATGTTTCATTTCGTATCAGAGATAAAAAAATAAATAAAAATAAAAACTCAGGTTTAGAGAGGAAGGGTGTGAATTTTCATTAATCTTTTTGATGAACTTATTGACTTGGATTTGGTTTAGAGGAGTCATTAGTTCACGAATCGTAGTTTTACATGGACTACGTCGCACCAAATGACACATCAACTTTCTAAAAGTATTTAAATGTAAACTACCTAAGAACAAACACAAGCATGGCACAAACTCCTATTGCTAAAATGTGTTCTTCTGGCAGCAGTGACCTGTTCTCCCTTTGTCTATCTGTCTCGTATTTCTCTCAGACACATTTATGTACAGCTGACCCACTTAGAGCTTTTAAAAATGGTTAAAATCAGTGAATGTGCCCAAGCAGAAGAGAGGCGCAAAACAAGGTTAGACTCTCCACACCCTGCTGGGAAGATCGCTGTGGATGTGTGTGTGTGTGGTACTGGCATGAAATATTCTCTCCCATGTACATAGCCAACCCCCCTGCCACTTCAGCCTTGAAGGAAGGACATGAACACACAGACAAACAAGAGAGAAGACAGCGATTCATACATACCAACAGGGCTGAGTGGTGATATTGTTTACTGAAACTAAAGTTGAGATTAAATAAATTCATTCATTGAATAATTGACTGTTGTAATGGTGGAAGAGAAGCTGTCAATGTTCACGAACACATGCTATAAAAAGGGTACAATCAATACCCAGTCCTAACATAACCCTTAAAAACCACCCCATACACTCATCTTCTCAATTTTTCTCACATAACAATGAGGTTAAATGGAGAGCAAATGCTTGTTTTTGCAAGGCATTTCATATCAGCAATACGTACATTTAAACACACTTTAAAAGTTTTAGATCAGACTAAAATAACAATTTGTCACAAACACTCTAGTCTGAATAAAATCATACCAGCCTGGTTTTTACGAACTAAAGACTAGACGAACTAACAGACCTAGATGACTGACATTAATCAGACAACAACTGACTTCAGTGCTTGCTCTGAAAGATAATTATTCCTATAAACTTTAATTATGCATTGTGTTATGTACTTGCCCAGGGAGATAAACGCTTTAGCTTAAGTATGCAAAACCCACTGTAGTGCCATTATGCACATGTAAACGTACTTATTTGTGGTCAGATACCAAAGTCTACTCTGCAATCAAAAGACTTTTCATAAACAAAAGTCTCAACATTCAACATTCAACATTCAAAAACCAAATAATCTGAGTGTCAACAACTACTTCATTTGTTTCTATTTTTAATTTTTCCTAAGGACTTTTAGGATACGTCAAAGCTGATACAGTAACAGTGTAGACAACACCGGTCCTTCAGGGCCACTGTCCAGCAGAGTTCAGCTCCAACCCTTGTTAAACACACCTGAACAAGCTAATCAATGTTTTCAGGATTAGGAAAAACACATTTTTGTCAGGGTTAGAACTAAACTCTGCAGGACAGTGGCCCTCGAGGACCGGAGTTGCCCATCCTAACTGAACCCTTACTGTATCAATTCAACTGTTCTCCACTGCGCCTCCTTCTGAACTCAGATTTACTGAGTCACTTCAACATCAATCTGGCACTAGGGAAACGGCATCAAAACGTCTCTAGTCATATGAACCATTCAGCTCAAAGCTACACCTGGGCTTCTCCAGAAAGCACTTAAATGTGCGCGCGCACACACATATACACACACCTATCATTAAGAGGATTCTAGGCATAATGGCTTTTATACTGCACAAACTGTATATTCTACCCCCCTACACTAACCCTACCCCTAAACCAACACATCACAGAAAACTTTCTGTGTTTTTTTAAAAGCCTTTTTCATTACATAAATGTCCTCATAAACCACATTTATGTTGTTACACCAGAGTAATACCCATGTCATTATACAAATTTGTGTCCTCATAAATCATTTGCATGCGCACATGAACACAACGCACATGCGCACACACACACACCTCTAGGGTTATCCAATCTGTCACACCAAGTCACAGAGGAGAGCAAGTAGGGGGGGAGAAAAGAAGCACAAAGAGATAGACTGAAACAAAGAATTTGTCACTGATGTCAAAAAGGCAAGTAGAGAAAGGGATAAAAGGTTTTTTCCACATCTAGATAACTGGAACTGACTACAAACAGACATTAAGATGAGGAGAAAATGTGTTTGTTCTATAATCTCACACAGATATGTAATTTAATTTCTTATTTCTCCATATTTAACCCTGCCACTCTCTACTCTCTCTGTTGCTTCTTACTGGTTTACAACTATTATTTCTGGGCTTTTTACAATAAACTAATCGCTCTGAAGTCTATTTCTTTCTCTAATTGAAGAGTGTCAGCAAGGTTAAAAAGATAAAAAAGACAATCTCACTTCTGCTTTTGAACAGACAGGCAAACAGACTTCCTCCACAAACTGTAAGCATGACAGAGAGAGAGAGAGAGAGAGAGAGATGTTCCGTAGGAGGAGGGAATCCCCACTTGAGTCAACGACTATATGAGAAAGCTATACTCCAGCTGGGAAAATACCTGTGTTGCTGTTGGGTTCTTGTGAATCATGAGTCTTGATAATAATCAAACTTTTGTTTTTTACTTGTTTGTGCTCTTAAACAAAATAGAGGTACGCGTTCAGTTCATATTAAGAAGTGTCACAAAGTTTTACCAAACCGAACCAATACCAAACACTTTCCTATTAAGCTTATATATATATATGTTTATTACATTATATCAATATATACACCCACATAAAATAAGCTAAATACTTATGAATATTGAATATTTGTTATATATATATATAAATGACATTAAATTAATTACAAAAGCAAACTATGCAACTTGAATCAACCAATAACATTATATTCAGAATTCCCACTATTGAAAATGACTAAGATATGTACACACATCGAATCTAATAAACAAAAATTACTGCGAGATGAGTAGTTAAATTGAATAAAACTGTGCGAGTGTGTGTGTGTGTGTATGTGTGTGTGGTCCTGGTAAACCCTACGCTATGGGGACAAAATTTCCCCAAGAGGAAAATAGCTTATAAAGTATACTAAGTTAAGCTAAGTTTTTGTGTGTGTGTGTGTGTGTGTGTGTGTTTGTGTGTGTGAGAGAGAGAAAGAGCCAGTCAGTTTAGGGGATACAGGGTTTGAGTCCCTCTTTAGCCAAGACACTAAAGAAACTGGCCCCCTTTTCTCTTTCTTCCTCAAATCTCCCTCTCCTCTAAAATTCATTATCTTTTATTGGTGTGATGAAAGAGGACTACTGGGCTCAAAGAGGGGGACTCTGTCTTCAAACAGACCGCCACGCAGGGAGACAGAATGCACAGCGGTACTTTGAAACTCTATAGGCACACACATTTACACACACTGACTTTCTCTCTTTAGCATGGACACACACACACACACACACACACACACACACTCGCAAAGTCTTTTCTCTTCACTGCGTAAACAAACTCACACAAACTCTCTCACTTCAGAACAAACAAATAGTTTTCTCTCAGTTAGCACAAACAAAACAAACTCTTTCTTTCCATCAAAATACAAAAAACTAAAATCATCAGACATCAAACACTAACAAGACAAGTATAAAAGCAGTAATTTCAGCCCTATCCTAATTAAATGAGATGGGCTGAGCATGCTGGGCTGCTACTCGTATACAAAGACTCACATTCCTTCACTCTATGTTCAGCTGTCCATTCAATTAACCTTTGGAGCTTCCTAACTGCCCCCCTTATACACACAGAGTTGGAACACCCACTCCCCTCTCTTCCCATGGCACACACCACAGGGTGCCACTCCACCTTTTAGAAACAGTCTATAAAGTGAGCATAACCAAAGCTCCACAAGCTAATGGAAAAACACAGGACCGTACTTCCCCCATCTTATATCTTGGGATTTTTAATAATGTAATTCTAGAAGCCCTGACTAAAACATCTTTTGTCTCTTTTCCAATGCACTAAATCATCTGTCAAAAATTTTAGACACATTGCAGTCTGTGAAAATAACAACTACAGAAGTCATCTATTGCCTGCACTTAAAGGTAAAGTGTGTCAGTTCTACACTGTTAGAGGCACAAAATAGTCTCATTCCACCCTGCTCCTGTAGTTTCACACTAAACTCACTCAACAGACAGAAAATGGCATGGTGGATAACTCGTACAAAAAGAGTAGCTAATGTTTTGAAATCATCTAAGAGCTACAAAGTTTACAGTTTGGAAAGTCAACGAGAAAATATTTTAACAGTGAAAAATGTTATCTGTTAAATCTTTATTCAATGTTTTCCCCCCAATTCTTTTTAAAAACACCTCAAGTCACACATTGGGAAACCACAAATCCTCAAGGTTACAAAACCCCTAAAGCTCATACTAAAAGTTGACTTTAATACAACCTGTCTGATGAAATATATGACATTCCACACATCAGTTTAACAAAGAATTGATGGTACTCACATCTCTGCAGTGAGGCACGATACCACCAGTCGGCATCCCCCTTTGCATACGCTGTGGCAGAAGATGTCCATGTCCTGAGGCCGATGTGGGCGTTGTGGGCTGCATGCTAGCATTGCGGTATCCTCCCACGGCTAGAGGACCCAGTTTGGCCACAGAGGGATCGGGGTCAAAATGTCGTAATGGCTTGGTGTTATTGAAGGAGTACGGTTCTGTACCCATACCAGCCGTGGAGGTCTTGTTTAGTTGCAGCTGTGAGGGTTTTCCCTGCGCCTGCATGAGGAGCTTGAGGCTACTGGGTGGTGGCTGGTTGGATGTGATGGCCTTGAACAGCTGACTAGACATTACAGGTGCTTGATTATTTTGTGAATTAAAAAGATGTCCTTGTGTGGGAGGTTGTGTTCCTGGTTGACATTGCCCAGCTGGGCTCGGATGTTTATCTGGTCTGTAAGGAGGTGATGGTCGAGTGTTGTTTGATGTTGGGGCCACGCCAGGAAGATAACTTGCCTGAGAACCTTGGATTGCAGTGCCTGAAACTCCTGGTGGGGCATTTCCAGACAGAAGGCTGTTCTGGGGGCTAAAAGGGGGCTGAGCAATTGCTGGGCTGGCAAGCTTTTCTGGCCTGTAGGGTGGTGAAGGTCCAGTGGATGGGGCTGGTGCCATGCTAGAGATTAGAGAGCTCTGGGGGCTCTGAATATTACCTGCTGGGCTGAAGGGCTGCTGATGAGGTGATGAGTTAGGCAGTTTATCCCCTGGTCGGTAGGGTGGAGAGGGACCAGCCCAGGAAGTACTTTGCTGGCCCAATCCAGACAACCCTGACTGTGTAGGTGGGGGTCCCGCACTGTTGTTAGAATGGTGCTTACTATTCGAAGCCATTTGCTGAAGCTGTTGGGCCCGGGACACCTCATGCCAGTTGGACCCAGCACGGCTTGATAGGGCGGCAGAAAGCATGGGTGATCGTGCTTGATTTTGCCCTTGTGAGGAGGACGACGATAGGGGTGATGCTGAGAGTGGAGACGGAACAGGTTTGGAAGGGTGTGGTAGCGTATATGGTGCCCCAGCAGGACTTGGACCCACTTGGGGGGAACCAGCTTGAGAGAATCCAGGGGATTGAGTGAGGTGGGCCTCCAGGTGCGACTGTCTCTGTGGAGATCGTTTAGGGGTGCCGTTACCTTCAGGGTGGACGAAACCTCCTGCACTACTTGCCTGGTCATCACTTTCTTTTCCTAAGATCTTGTCAATGTCAAGCTCAGGTAAAGTGGGATCAGGATTCTTTGTAAGTTCATCTAAAATCTCCTGCAGTTCCTGTTCCACTGAAGGTGTGGCAGAACTCCCATTTGGGTTGAAGCCCCCTGAGGCTCCCCCAGTCCCCGGAGTTGATCCAGGACTAGTGTTCGGGGGTACGGAATACGGAGAGCCCAAATTGTTGTTGTTACTATTCAGTCGGTTAGCTTCCAGAACACCCCCCTGGTTGCCCATCCCAGAGGGGAATGGGGGCTGAGGGTAGCTGGGGCCCATTGCCAGGGTGACATCCTCCAGACATAGTCGTTTGCCACCTCCCTGGGTCATAGACGTGTCAGAGACCCCGTTTAGCGATGCAGAACTCTCGACGGCCCCAGTCAATTTCCTCTTCAGGGATCCAGGCAGCTGTGGAGAAACAGAAAGACACAGGGTTTTTATAACTGCAAGTTGCTTTAAGGAGAACAGAATTATGAACGTCACAAAAAAAAACATCAACAAAGGATTGCCAATCAACCAGAATTGTGTAACATCGGCTGATGGTATGTGACAACATTTACTAACAGTCTAAGTCTGGACATTCGCTCACATTTCTCAAGTATATATGTAGGTTTTTTGGCAACAACTTAATTGTGTTACTATGAGCCAACTGGTCTGTTACTGCCCACAAATGGTCTGTAGGGATCTCAGGGCTCTATCTTTCAAGCATAACCAGTAGCTGGAATGAGTGTCCCAGTGCAGCTAGAAATCCTGTGGGTTTCATGCCACTGTTAACCTTATAGAAGATTGAGAAAGAGAGAGAGACGAATGAAGAGAGACCTCCTAAGAAACAGATTCTTGATGGGATGAATAATTTACTGTAACATTCCAGCTGCAGAAGAATGTGCAGTATTTTTTCCATTTTTCTTCTTCTGCATTCTCTCTATTTTATGTGGATTCTGACACCATTATCCATTTTAAAGCTCTTTCTAAGACTTGTGAAAGCCATTGGGAAAACCATTACAGAATATTGCCTTGTACATATCATTTCGGAAAAAAAAACATTCTTGACAGCTCCCTACATTGTATCCGCTTAGATACGATACGATACAGGAATAAATAAACACTACACCTAATGCCCCTTCCCAAGAAGCTGGCTTGTGGACACTGCTAGTTCACTTCCTGCAAAAGCACTCTTTCCTCTTTTCTCTTCCCTCATCCCCCCATTCCCCACCCCCTTTTTATCTAGGAGGTTTTCCCACATAGATTCCTCTCCGTCTAGAACAATGGAACTCTGGAGACACACCTTCCCCAGCATCGCCAAGCTGTCTGCGCAGTCCACCCTGCCGTGCGTATGTGTGTCTATGTTTGAAAGAGAGACAGTGTGAACACGTGACGTAAAGGAAGAGTGTCTGTGCATGTGTAACAGAATATGAATTAATGCAGCCTTCATTTTAGAGCCTGTATTCTCACTCACACACACGCACACACACAATCCTCTCTCTAATGGATGCCAATTTCATCCTGAGTAAACACATCAATACAGACACATCGACTGTCTCTCTCCCTTTCTCCCTCTCTCTGCTGGAGGGACGCCTTTCATTCGGTAGCGATCGGATTTGTCCCATTATGACTGACACAACCATCTGTCAGCACAGAGAAAGCTGGCAAAAGAGAGAGAGAGGGAGCAGACCTATCATCCACACTGCTGTGCATATTCCTCATAATTATGGCTGGTAAGGCATACATCTGATTGCATTGTTCTGATTCTCATTAAAGCTACACTGCATACACAACACACACACACTGAATAATACACAATCACACATGCATTCACACAGGACGCTAAACAAACAGAATGGTACAGTAATGAACAGAATGGTACAGTAATGAGAGGGGATTAATAAATTAGTGCAGTCTGAGTGTGTGTAATGGTAGATGTCAATAATTGGGATGATGGATTTGTTGGGTATTGAGATTAAAATAAAAGTCATCAAATAGTACCCAAAACCAAAGTGTCAATTAGCACAATGCCCAGAACAAACACTACCGCCGCCACCACCACCAAAACGAATAGAATTGACATTTTAGGTTTACACGACACAACGGACCACCAATAGTACAATGTAACCAATGAACACCAACAAAAAAATACAAAAATGCACACTGGTATGTTTATTGGACATGATACCAAAACTATGACATCAGCTGATGTGAATGACATTTGGTTCCGTTAGCAATTATCGCATGTGCATTCTTCCATCACAACGCATTCTCACCCCAAGGCGTCACCTTTGACCATGCTTCAATATTTGACGTTTAAGGCGCCACTTACATGACGCGATCCTACGGCGTCATCTAACTGACGCTAAAGGAAAGCGTCAGTTAGAGGACGCGGTTAGGTTTAGGTGTGGGGTGGGGGTAGGGTACACGCGATCCTAGGGCGTCATCTAACTGACGCTAAAGGGCGCCTAAAGCGTCAGATATTGAAGCATGTCCAAATGCTTCCCAAGGCGTCAGTTAAGTGACGCCTTGGGGGTGAGAATGGGCTGTCCATCAATGCATACTGTACAAATTCTAACAGAGTTCCCTGATTTAATTATTCAGAAGCACAGCAATACCGCAACAGAAACCACAGCAAGACCAGTTTAGTTCGATTTAAAAGAATTGATTCATTTTGATTCACCAAAGTTTTGTTCATTTGTTCAGTAGTGAATCAATAACATACAGCTCAACCGGTTTAGTCTGATTCCCAAACAAATGGCTATAAGCAGTTGGTTCTTTTTAGCAAATCCAACACATACAGCACAATCAAACAACATAAATCGTTGCTTAACGACCACAGTACAATGCATTTTCGGAAAAATTAACTAGTTCCCAGAACTGTAGTAACAGTCACACATCTCATCTGTCATTCAACAATATAATCACTATTTTGTTCTTCATTGTTTTGCTTCATTATCGGATTTTGATTTAATAGACACACACACACACACACACACACACACACACACAGCTGATGCGACTTCTCCGCCCCCTCGTCAATAGCAGGACCTTGTCAGTATTTCTTTCACCCATTTATTGATGGGCAGTGTTACATTGTGTGAGAGATTATTTGCTTCAAGTGAGAACGTTAGCGTGAAATTGAACACATATATGCCAATTTATAGTTTTCAATAAAAAAAAAACAACAATTGCACAAAGCAAGCCGATCCACTTTTCCATGTTGATAAGAGCATTAAATTGAGAAATCAAGAGACATTTAGAACAGATTAAAAAATGTGTGATTAATCGCGAGTTAACTATGACATTAATGTGATTAATCGTGATTAAATATTTTAATCGTTTGACAGCACTATATACAGTATATATATATATATATATATATATATATATATATATATATATATATATGCTGCTTCTAATTAAAAAGTCCATGTAAAATTATTATTGGCACTACTACTTGATCTTCTTATTCTCTAACTACTCAGTATACCCATTTCTGCATGTCCTTCGATGCTGTACTATGATATCTGTCTCTTCATTCCTCTTGTGTCTAGACCTGGCTGTCATGTCCACACACACACACACACAGCTTTCCATGACGGCTGCTATCGATCAACCTCTGCAACTGCTGATTATTCAACCATGGTGTCCCTGTCTGTGCAGTCATCTGAAACGAATCAATGATTCAGAAGCTTTTGGCCTCTTCACAGATGCCAAGACAAAGTTATGGAATCTTTGACACGTTATTATTTTAAATGATTCACTCAGTAATTCATACAGAGGCAAAATGATTGATTAATGAAAAGTTAGTTTAACCAACAGTTTCGACCACGGCCATTAATCAACTAACCAGATTTCACAGACCAAAAATCTAAATTTATTTTATGTTATTATTTTATAACATTCATCATTACTGAATATGCAGTGACTAATTGGAAAAAAATAAATTCGACTCATTGAACATTGCTGGCTCCAAAAATATCCACTTTTAGTTTGAGGGAGCAGAAGGTTATCTGAGCAATGATTAAGAGGAAGATTTTGAGAAAAGCTTCGTACATTTCACTGTACAACAAGAGTTATTAAGGGCAGTCCCTCTTGTTAGAGAACACAGAAACAGGATGAGTGTGTGTGTGAGAGAGAAAGATAGAGACACAGAGTAGGGAAGGGAGAGGGTTTGTGCCAAGAGAAATAAAATGGGAGGGGTCTGGAGACACTTTTTGCACATGAACAGAGTTTCGTCTCATAGACCAACATAAACAGGCCTAATGTGTGCGTGCCGGAAAACACAGTCAACCTCTCATTCGCTCACCAAGACAAACACCGTTGAAGAGATAGGCAGAGGTACAGATCCCTGTGGGGAAATTAAACCCACAAATGTCATTGTTTGGTCAACTTTATTTCTTCTGTGGAACACAAAAGATGACTTTTTGATGAATATCCTGACCATTCATTTCAATATAACAAAAAAGTGTATCAGATTTGTGTGAGAAACAGACTGTTTAAGTTGTTTTTCACTGAAAATTATGTTATCTGCACTTATTGGCACTTATCTTGGCACTTCATTTCATGAGAGAAGCAGCAAGATCAGATTTGTGACCAAAATGTTCTTCTGAGTCTGATATTTTCAATGAAACATTTGATACAGTTCACATCACATTCGCGGCCATAGTGGTTAACAGCTCAATGAGGACGATTATCTGTGAATATTCTAAAAAAAATTACTAAAATCTCAGTATGTTCTTCACCAAACTCCTATCACATGACCTGAAATATAGGCCATGTACAATATGGATCACTTAAAGCGAACGTTGATGTTCTTTTTTTTTTTTGGGTCATTTTGTAGCTTAAAAGCCCCAGTACTCATTAATTTCTGTTATTTACATTATCGTTCAAAAATTTGCGGTTGGTAAAAAAAAAAGTGTTTATTATGCTCACAAAGATTCCATTTATTTGATCAAAAACACAGAAAAAAAACTTTAATATTGAAAACTGAAATATTATTAAAATGTAAAATATAGTTAATATATTTTAAAATATTTTATGAAAAAAATACATTTAAAATAAATGTAAAATTGATTCCTGTGATGGCAAAGCTGAATTTTCAACATCATTACCCGAGTCTTCAGTGTCTCATGATCCTTCAGGAATAATTTTAATATGCTGATTTGGTGCTCAAGAAATATTTCTTAATATTTTCATTGTTAGAAAGCGTAATATACGCCGAAATACATTTCTTTTTCATTAATTTAAGTAGCATAAAGACCAGAAAGTTCAAAAGTACAGCATTTATTTATATTTAGTAACAATTTTTGTTTTTAACATGTCCTTGAAAAAAAGTTGCTGCAAGAGACTAACAACCAACTCTTGCTTGTATACTCGTGTACTATACTGTACGTTTGTCATCTTCGCTTTTTCCCACAAAG